TTTGCTTTCTTGGCCTGCAGGCGGTGGAGCTAATGCAAGCCCAATGGGAAAGGGTGCAGGCAACCAAAAGCGAGGCAAAACTAAAGAAACAAACGTATGACCACGTCCTTTTCTTGACAAGTGTGAGAATAATTCGGCCAACATCAGCGACTGGCCTTGTTGGCCTCTTTTGCTTTCTTGGCCTGCAGGCTACCGAGCTAATGCAAGCCCAATGGAAAAGGGGGCAGGCAACCAGAAGCAAGGTAAAACAAGACAACCAAACGCATGACCACTTCCTTTGCTTGATAGCGTTCAGAATGTTTCAGCCAAGATCAGCGATCAGCCTTAGCCTTCTCAGCCTCTTTTGCTTTCTTGGCCTGCAAGAAAGCATAGAGCAAGCCCAATGGAAAAGGCCAGTGACGCGACTACCATGAGCTGAACAGAACATGAGCTGTATTGTTCTCAGTACCACCGCACAAAAGCCGGTTGCCCTGTGACAGTTCCCTGCACTGCAACCAATAGGTGCGTTCGTGTGGGAAAAAAAAGTGCGCACATGCCTTCCCTCTTTGACACAAAAAGCCATCCCAAGGGTGCGCCTTTTCCGTTTCCTTGGCTTTCTTCGCCTGCCCCCAGCCCTTCAGCGCTGGGAACTCTGAAAAGCACAAGCAGGAAAACAGCCGAAATCTGCTTTCAGGGTGCAACTGATAAGTTGTGGTGATATATATGCAAGAAGTCCAAAGACTATATCTGGAATCACCGAAGCAAACGAAACTACTTTGGAACTGTCGAGTCATCTATACTAAAAAAACAACTCGCAATAAACACCTAAAGTAGCGCCTAGTTTGAAAGACATGTGTTTGAGTGAAACTACAAAGGACATGTTTAAAAGAACTGGTCTTGGACTTGGACTCCCAGGTATATACCAAGCGAACTTGAGCATGTGAGCGTCCGGACTGGTGCAGCAGGGCCGCTGCCTGTTCACCCTCTCTGTGCTGGTGAACCACCCGACTTTGCACCATGAACCGGTCACTTCGGTCCGGTGGTCCGGTCACTCGGCAGTTCCCGGACTCGGTCAGAGTGCTCGAACGGGCATGGCATAGTCGGGCATAGTGCTCCAAGTTGCAAACATCTCGGGCATGGCACAACGAACTATCGCTGTATACCTACAGCTCGCTCAGGTTGGAGGCCAGCGCTCAACCAGGTTGGAGACCATCGGTCTCTTGACTCATGCTTTTTTTCTCTCTTCACAGCGGTCTGATCTCTAGTTGTAGACGTTTCTATGCACATATTACAAAACAGTATTGTGAAAATCATTTGTTTTCATCTGAATTCATCATCTTTTGGCTCCTTCATAAGTTCCAGCCCAGAAGACAAAAGGCCTTTCCTAATCCCGTTCGCCGCGTCGAATCGAAACCACGTGTGTCCCCCGTTCTGACGAACACCGGTCGATGACCTTGGCCGTTTCTCCTTGGCTTTCGTGAGCTTCGTTCCCGGTGAACCGCCCTGTTTCAGTTGGAGCGTCCGTAGTTCTTGCAACTAACTGCAAGCCCAACTCCATCTAACTCCATCTAAACGTCCGTATACGTCCTTCAAAGTGAGCAAACCTGGTTTGGACCTTGGTCGCGTCACCTAGGGTGCAACGGAAGAGAAGAATAAGACATGTTGGTTGGACTTATATAACACCATCGCTCAGCAAATGCTGCACATAGCAATTCAGAACTCAGACTCAGATTGGTGGATGGATGATGATGGATATCCGAATATCATACATGTCTGGCATGCCTGGCGTGCCCCAGTGCCCTTGACATCCGTTGACCCCACTCCAAACCCCGGTGACGCATATATATGGCAGTCCCATGGAGTGTCTGGGAATATGATCATCTAAATCTAATTCTGCACCACCGAGTTCGGGTGGTTTATAGACATCCCTGACTATGTGTTTCATCGGGGGTTGAGCCGACACCGAGTCCTTTTCAATTACCTGATGGTGTTTAGTTCGGCGACTTTAAGTGGTCAGTTGATTTGGTGGCGTCCAAAATCAAGAGTATTCAGTAAAGAGCCTTAAATCAAATTCTAGGGATCAGGGTTCATGAAAACGTCCATGAGAAGGCTCCAGCTCGCTTGCACAAATCCATTTAAGGAGTTTTCCAGACTCCACCATACCATTGGCTATGATGTCCTTTGAGGAATATCCGTGAGGAATGTCCCTGATTTTTCGTTCTGCACGACCTGGTTGACTTCGATTGTTCGTTTTTTGTGACTGGTTTTGAAATGGGACTCCCATCACCGTGGGGACGCTCTAGCGCCTTCTCAACGGCCTTGGCCTTTTGCAGCTTGGCCTCTCCGGCCGCGAAGCTCGGCCGGTTGGCTTGGAAGCCCGGTCCGGGAGCTGAAAGGCCCGAACGGAGAGGAAACGGCCATCTTAAACTGACTATAATAGCCCCCTGAGACTAAGGGTTAAGAGAGGGTTTTCTGGGATGTCCATGAACCACCCCCTGAGACTCCGAAAAACGGCCCCTGGTGGTATAGGTATGTTGCTCAAATGTTGCTCGACGACAACCCAGGAAGGTTTGGAACATGCACAACAAACCCAGGGGCTGCCAGGGTGTCTCCCTATTGTTCCTCCAGTGTTGAGCATTCGTCCAAAACCCAAACACTTAAGATCGGCACATATACCATCATACCTACATCGGGGAAAAGTCTTGGTCATATTCGGTGGGAGTGCCTCAAAAAGAACGCTTTTGCAACATGTTACGAGTTGGGAGCGTCTGGGAGGTTCAAGAATGGCACCATGTCCGATGGGTGTCCATGTAGATGGTCATGTCAGGCACCAGGTCCTTTTACTCCAACAAATGATGCCTTCCAATTTCTGGGACATACATCAATCACCGGCTTGGCCTGACTACCCTGCGTCCTGAGTTGATCTCATCGAACTCTCCAAACCTACATGGCTAGACTCTAGAAGGTGCTCCAAGAATTGAGGCATGTCCTTGACCGGACTGGCTCTTCCAAGCCTTTTCACCTGTCATTCACCTGTCATTCGCGAGGTCCCGGCTATCACAAGGATGAGCCGAAGAAGTCGGTCTCATCTCCATCGCTGCACCGCTTCGTCTCGACCTATGTAACTTGAACAAATCCCACGACACCGACGTTCTCCGCCGCGTTTCGCTTTCTCCGCCGCGAAACTCGCTTCGCTTTCGCTTTCGCTTTCACTTGCGTTCCTTCGCGCGAAGGCCGCGCGCGCGCCGCCTTGTTCGCGTCTTTCGCCTTTTGCGTCCTGGCCTGGTGAGGGCGGGGTAACCACCGAATCGCCCTTTCGGAGTGACGTTCTTTTGGGACGTGGGGGGGAGGGTCCCGGGTGGGTTCTCGACGGTTTCTGGAAAGTCTGCCGAATTGGTTGGGACATGTTTTTTTACATGCTGGGACATGCTGAAGACGCACCACGAACGAAACATCCGACCATTCGACCCTAGATCCGACGAACGATGGGGATCCTCGAATGAAAGATCCGTCGATCCGACCCCGCCCGATCCCGTTCTTCGACCAGACTCCACGGGTCGTTCTGGCTGAACTCCGCGATGACGTGAGATCGGTCTCGACATCAACGGCGTGGTTTTCGCACCAAACGACGTGCCAGTGCGGTGATTTGAACGAGTCGAAGTGTTTGATTCCCTTGCATTTTGCCGGTCATTTTTGTCTGGTTGTCTGGCACTTTTTCAGGCTTGGAAAGGGTTCAGATCACCGTTCAGATCACCACAGGAGAAAACCAAAATACTCAAGACTCGACGGGTGCAACAGTCCAAAGGTTTCAACCCCGCCGAATGATTCAAACATGTCAAGCAATGCCATAAAGATGCATAAAGATACGTGTGATTGCTGTTCCCTTGAAAAAATAGAAATAAAAAAACAGTATAAGCAAAGGTCTTAGCATGTCTCAGCCTTAGCGATTGAATCACACCCTCCAGGTCCAGTGGGTGAAGTCCGCTCGCCCCGCTAACTGGTCCCTGCCTTGGCAGCCACCTTCTTCGCCTCGCAGGGACTCAGGGACCCGTACTTCCATGTTCTTGGTAAAAAAAATTGGAGGTCCATGGTTCAAAGGCAAGAGATCGAGACAGTTGCACTTGGATAATGCAAAAATGGAGGAAGTTCCTATACAGGTGTGGTGACTCATAGACCATCAAACACTCAACGCAACTAGCAAGGGCTTGGCTTGACTACTATGTGGATGTGCAGGTATCTCATCGTCTTGCGAGTCTTGCCATCATTCCATGTGTATACTTTCAAGATCAAACAAATCAGAAAGTCATAAAAGATTCAAACAGACCTCTGGGGGTCTAGAGTCTAGATGCTCCCATAGAGTTCTCTGAGTGCCCAGCAACATCCCCCAACCGTGCCTTGAGTGGAAGTATGTGGAAGCACTGCGAGGGAAGGAACCGCTTGCGTGTCTTCATCTTCAAAAACGTGGGCGAGCCACGGTCGTTTCACCCAGCTCAGTTCGTGGAGTCACCATGGTCTGAACAGTTTGGGAAGGCTGCCAGGATGGGTCAGGTGGTGGTGGGGCCCTGGTACCCGGGCCACCAGGGTTGACCACCCCCCTGTCCTCTTCCGCCCTACCGGACCGCTCGCCGTACCACCGGACCAAAGCCGGACTTTCGATGCTATCCGCACCTGCATCTTTTCCTTGAGCGCCGTGATGCCCACTCTCTTCCTGAAATGGACGAGAACGGAGCGCTAAAACAGCGCTCCATAGGTTGTGAGGTCGGTGGCCCGTGCCCTCGATGATGGGAGGTGGATCGAGGTGGATCGATGATGGGATTTGCTGTCCAACTGGGACCATCCTGTCTGGGTGTCCTGCCTGGACATCTCTTTTCGCAGTGTAGGGTATGTCCAGCCAGGACACCCAGACAGGATGGACCTGGCAGAAACCAGAAAAAACATGTTTCTTGAAGCAAGCATCTTCCCCCAGAAACCAAGTCTCAGGAATTCTCCCACAGTTCCTTTGGCTTCAGGTGTTATCATGCTTCATTCATCGGGCAAATCCCAAATCCGGTCCAGGTATTCTGAAAGGTCGATGTTCCAGCTTCCATGATTGGCATTCTGAAGGGGGAACAAAAAAATCCCTTCACAGATCTGACGGATGATGAGTCTTCTCTTTCTCGTTTTGCAAAGGAAATGGGATGAAATGGGGGAAAAGTTCATGTTCACAAACCTTTTTGGGTCGATGTTTGGTTTCTTCATGCTTCCTCAACCTTGGATGCTGCCGGCATTGGGCCGGCCTTGGATGAAGCAAAAGAGTTCTGCAATGAGTTCGTTCAGTGCGTTGTTCCAACGGTTCCAACGGTGTTCCAACGTGTTCCAACCAGTGTTGATTCAGTGTTCATGATTGGGAGAGACTATGATTGAGACAAAGCCACAGTTTTTTCTTACACCAGCACCACCCAGTTGAGGTGGTTTTGGGATGGAAAATACTTTTATCTTTATGTAGTAGTATCCTTTAGTCAGGGGTGCGTCTATCAACCACTATCAACCACACGACCTGGGCGGCGCTGGCAGGCAACTTGGAAGAGAAAACTGGACCAGCACTCCAATCGTGAAGGTTTCTCAAATTGCTGCCTCAGCCTTCAGTGAGTTGGCCCTTGATTGAACATTACATTATGTACCCAAAAGCAAACTCCCAACCAAGCTCCAAAAGGATCTGCAGAACCTTTGAGTTGTAATTCGATATTCAATTTATCAGTACAGTCCAAACCGCTTAGATTATGTCTGCCAAACCCCTGTATTCTAGAAGTTGTTCATCTTGAAAAAAACAATCACAAAATGCAGCCAGAAAAACAAAAGCAATCATAGAGGCAAGAAATGCAAACAAAATTGCAATCAAACAATTGAACAGCACAGCATGTTTGTAACAAGCAAGAAAACAACAAACAGCGTGACAACCAGTTGACAAAAAGGAGTTACCTGGTAATTACTTACAAAGCAAGCCAAAAAAGAACAAAATTACGGCTAGCTGTGAGCGACTGGGTGACTAACTGTACACCCCTCCAAAAAAGCTCTGGGGGGGCTGGCATCTACATCGTCCCTGAGGTTTCTGCACTCAGCCGGGCTTTCTGGCGCACTTTCTGGCGCACTTTTTGGAAGGATCCACTTTCTGGTGCACTTTTGGTCGCGTTTTTTCTTGTTGTTTGCTCTTTTTTAGTTGTTTGTTGCGCTTTTCTGCACATGTAAAAGCGAAAACAACGCGAAAAAAAACGACGTGCAACATTTGACCCGGCACCGGAAAAGAAAGCGACCAAAAGTGAGGCGCTTGACCCGGCGCCAGAACACCAGTCAGCTGGGTTTCGGGGATGAAAGACCCTTGTCTTCCTCACCCTACCTGGCCCCCTCGCCAAGCTGGGTTCCAACGCGTTGAATTCCGAATCTGCAGCTAGTCTGCAGAGGCCCTTGCTATAGGGACTAGTGGTGCGGGTAGTAACATTGCCTCTATGGACCTTTTGGTTTGACCACGTTAAAGAGTGCTTTAAGTGTGTGTGTGTGTGTGTTGCTTTCTTGGTCGCTTCTTTCTTTGCTTGTGCTTTTTTGGTTGCACTTGCTTTGCTTTTTGTTGCTTTCTTGGTTGCTCTTCTTTTCGCTGGTGCTTTTTTGCTTTGCACTTTCTTTGCTTTGATTTTGCCTTTTTTTCAAGATGCAGGGTCTCGTTCGAAGAAAGCCACCGGACCCGGTGAAGCCATGACGCTTTTTCATGCGTTTGGATGCTCCGTTCACGCCAAGCGTCTCCCATTTGGCCTCTTTCCCCGAGTCCTCAGGGCGAAAAAGCAGCACCACCGCAACGCGGTGTTTGACGCTTCCGAGGGTCAGCTTCGGGTCAGCTTCCAAAACGGCAGGTTCTCGTGGTTTCATATATTTCCTTTTGGTTTCCATGAACATCTCTGTCAAAAACCTTGAGTTCCAGCATGTTCTAGCCATCCAGCCAACAGAACACGCCGCCGTCAACCCTCCGAGCTGTCCTTGTATGCCTGAAGTTCTGCCGCATACTTCTCCTGTTCTCAAACCAACACGGCCCAACGTCGGGTCGAGGACCTTGGAGAGAATCGGATGAAAGGGTTTAACCACGTTGAAACACATCCTTTCCTCTCAAGTATTGCTGTCTTCTCCTACAAAGTGAGGATGTTAGGAACATGTAGGAACAACCCAAAGCCTCTTGTCCACGTACACAGTAGTCTAGCAGTCTAGCCTGGGATGCAGGATTTGTATGGAAAAGGAGGTCTTGCCACCTTGCCGCGTCTTGAAAACATGATCTGCTCACCACAATCATCCTGACAATATCATCGACGATCTTTGAGGTTCCCAAAGACTATCATTTCCCCCACTTCTTCGCCTTGGCTTCTGCCCAGCCAGCTGCATAGCCTCAGCCAGTTTCCCACCCCCCTGCATCGGCGGTATCCCACCGCGTGGCTCAACGTCTCCACGAGCGGCTGAAAGCTCTGGGTGGTTTGGTGAGTTTGTGTTGGCACAAACAGGATCTGTTGATGGTAATGGTGAGTCACTCCCTTTTCGGTCACTCTGAAACTCGAACTTGAACCTCGAGTTGGTGGTAGTTGAGTTCGGAGGGGCGGGGCTGAAGGTGCGGTCAGGCCCTTTGGATCTGATTGGCCCTTCTTTTAAATGCCGCAGTGCTTCTGCTCCTAGACACATAAAGGCAGCATAAGGCAGCCCAAAAAGACTTAGTCGCCTAAGTACCCGTGGGCATCGAGCCTACTTTGGGACGCCACACCAAAAAAAGGGATGAGTCTGTACTATAGGGAACTGCAGCAAAAGAAAGACCTGCAAACCCAAACACTCCTTATATTTACCTACATTGGGGTGGTTTTGATGTACCGGGGGTCAATGGGGCGGGTCAGCATTCCAGGTCCCCAAAAAAGGTCGTGTCAGGGAGAGGCTCAGAAACCGATAGTTCTAGTTCTTTACATCCCCTTCTGGTCCACACCTCGGTAAAGGTATCGATCGAGTTGACCTGACCACCCATTTCAACAGCCCACCGGTCAGCAGGGTGCTCGCGTCGAAGCCCGCATCGCTGGCTTTCTGAGCCCAAGACATCCCAAGACGTCAATTGCTATCCAGGAACCGGAAAAATCAATGTGTGTTTCCTCAGAAAAGGATTCGTCCATATCAGGGCCTGGGGTTCATTGACACCCCTCAATTCCTCAACCTCTAAGTTACTCTAAGGGTCTATCAGTAGACACTCCCAACAGGGGACCCTGCATAGTGGAGAACCAATCACCCTGGATCAGATGATGAAGTCGTCTGGCCAACTCCAACTCACCTGACTCACCAGTGCCTGGCTTCACCTGTGAACCGATCATCTGAGAAGAAATGAGGTCCGCCAAAGGTGTCAACAGCCCCCTGGCCCAAGTGGCTTCGTGGGGAACCCCCTCCAGAGACTCCAACCCAAACTGACCCCCTCAGATTCCCTTGAAGAAAAAACTGCTTTGTCCTTTTCTCACGGAGTCGAGTGGATGTTTATAGTCGAGTGTCCCCACTCTCCAGGAGTCACATCAAAGGGGTGGGTTTTGAGTCACATCCAGTGAGTGGATGTGACAAGGGCACCCCTCTCCTCCAAGTTCATCCAAGTTTGGCATCCCCTTCAATGCTATTGACTAGTTGTGCCATCATCTGTGCCACAGGCCATCCGCCCTGCTTCGCCGCCGTTCCGGCCGCATCAAACCGCCCCCCCCCCCCCCCCCCGATCCAGCCGAACGCTGAGCTGCGGCCGGGGTGCGGCTCTTCTCGGACTCGCTGAGGCTCTTCCACTTCAAGCCCGCACTCTTGGTGATCTCAACCACCTGGACGATTCGCGGTGACACCTGCGATGATACGACAGGCTTGCCTGACCAAGTCCGGCCCCAAACCCATGAAATACATGACATGTGGGACTCCTGTCGAAGTCGCGCCTCCCAATTTTAGAACGCAGGCGGACTCTGCATGTTCTTCCGAAAGCTTACTTGGAAATCGAAACGAAGATGATCAAGGCATTTTCCACCGTCGGTTCATGTCGTTTCGTCGGTTCGGGTCTGGACAAATTGAAGAGACAACGACAGAGGGATCTTGAGGGTGGTACCCGGTACCCACCCGCACCTAGGTACCAGGGAACAAGGCCGCTTGAGGCCCGCCGAAAAGCACCGATTTTGATTGAGACGTCTTGAAAGTAATTCATCTATAACCTTGCCAGGGCATCCAGTTACCACTACAGTATAGCTGGGGAACCAGTCATTCCAAAGACATCCAAAGCAGACTAAAAGCATAGACCGTCTACTGTAGAAACCCTGGTTAGTTGTAGAGTGACTGGGATCCACAGCGCCTGGTACCTGGTGTGATTCTTGCAAAGGGTGGTGAACTACCGAGGTTCAAGGGCAAGGAAGGCGAGAACACCACTGACGAGAATACCACAGACTGACTGGTCAACTTCTGCCATTGCAGGGGCCCGCCGTCATCCGCCGTCCCGCTGAACCGTGCTGAACCGTGCTGAACCAGTTCGGTACTCTCCAGTTCGCAACGCCATTGGTATCTTGGACATTCTTGCTCCCTTGGTGATTGGTAGGAAGCAACAGGTATCCCCTAGCAGGAACCAAACACCCAAGCCTAAGCGCGTGACAAACCAGGGCCTCCTTAGGATTGCCGGCCGCTGCCCGTTGCTCCTGTGCCCGTTTGGAGGATTCTTCTTCGACGATCGTGTGGGGGCCGTAGCGCTCGAAAGGATGATTGTTCATAGGCGAGTCGATTTTTCATAGTGTTCATTTTATAAACGATTGTATTTAAAAAATGTGAGGTCGGATAGGCGGGATAGGTGTTTTGTAATGTTCATTCCAGGATCATCCTGTCTGCGTGTCCAATGGAGGTCCAGTCTAGAAGTGTACTGTAGGCTAGTCTATCGGACACCCATTGGATGACACAGGTTTGTGATTTGATGTGTGTTCTTTGTGTGGCTTTAAACAAAAGGGAGCAATGCGACTTTCGTTCAAACGCCGGGTCTTTGGGTTTCTCCTTTCCTTATATACGCACCCATGTTCCTCGGCACCATACCTATATATATATATTAACAATTCAGTTATATACATATGGATTCCATCACCTTAAGGATGCTGTTTGACTCTCTCTCCGTGTGCACACACGAGATAGTACAGAAATCTATGTGCGTCCGTTGAAGTCGAATACATCGTTGTCGCTGATGTTGTTGTCCTTGTTGTGAATCAAATCTTCTTTGGATTCGGTGGATGGCAGTGCTGAGCTCCACGGAGCTGGGAAAAACAAAATCGCTTGGGCAGGAGCTTCTTTGGATGAACTGCCCAGCCCAGACTGCCGTGCTCAATGAGGTTTAGGGTGCTCTGGGAGGACTATCAACACCTTCCCTATCAGGTTGGAGGCCATCGCTCTTAGGTTGGAGGCAATCGCTTAGTAGGGGAGCGGGCTTTTAAAAGACATCCTAGGCCTCATCAACTCGCTCCTCCATGAACTTGAAGAAGGGCGTCAAAGGCTTCTTGGGCCGCTCCGGATCCCGCTTCCAGGCGTCCTGGCGATCGTGTTGTCACCGGAAACAGGTCGAAAAAATAATGAACAGGATTCATCGTGATTCACAAATATGGAAAAACATGGAAAAACACCATCACTCCGTTCCCGTCAAAATGGCTCAGAACATGGCCGCTCGATCTGTGCTGGTGTTCTCGTTTTCTCGGTGTGCTGCGTCCGTCCGTCTCTGGGCACTTCTCGTCTTTCTGTTCTCGCCGCTCAAGGCCCTCCGTGAGATTGTCTCACTGAACGGGGAACTGCGTGGACGAAGACCCTCACTCACCACAGGCAAAACGCGTGACACACACGCACACACAAAAAAAAGGCGATGTCTTCACCCACCTGCTTGCCGGACTCTTTGTAGCTCTTCCTGGGACAAAAGAGTTGTTCGGTGCCATGACTTCGTGATACTTCGCGACTTGCTGCCACTAGGATGTCGCTATGAGCTTCCCCAAACAAACAATGTTTGCGACTAGGGGCTCCTGGCATCACTACGAATGGAGCAAGGACGCTACGTTCGGGGCTCCTGGCCATACTACTAGCAACAAGAATGCTACTAGGAGCTTTTCACATGTGTTCTCCTGTGGTTCGCATCACTGGACCTCATTTTCACATGACCCAGGCGGTAGCGAAAGCTTACCTGGTCTCCACAAATCAGGGAACTCACAGTTTTCAGGAAGGTCATCTCATGTTCCAAACAATGGTGTCCTTTGGGGAATCATGGAGGGGTCGATTTGCTACTATAATACCTATTGGTTGTTCAAGTGGTGGTATCCCCTCTAGGACACCAACCAACCGATATGGGGTGTATTTAAATATTAGGGATATCATGTGATATCCCAATTAATGGGTAGGCTGGTCTATTCTCCGAACCTTCCAGGGGGTCGGGACACCTGCGGTTCGGTCTCCCTATCTCAATACATAGCTGCTCATACAAACATTAAAGCGGTTAGTAATATCCCCCTGTGAGTTCGGGAGAAGGCTGGGGTGTCTCATTTTGTAGTGAAAACATCAAGGAGGATTTAATAATAGGGATAGTTAGGGTATATCCCACTCACGTAAGAGTGGATGATGATGATGGCTCAGTTACAGTTGCAGGCCTTTCTCTAAACTAGTGAATTGCTTGTTTACTGACTGTTCATTGTAATGGGATAGCAAAAGGCCATCGTTCCAAAGACCCCTGGTGGCCCCCTTCGACCTGATGACAGGTCGTCAAAAATATCGGCCTCTCCTGACAGGTACACCTTGTTTCGAATCCGAAGTCTAGTTCGACTAATTAGAGTAAGATCCCCAAACTAAAACAAAAACAGGTCGATGGGTCACCTAGTAGACCTCATGTTCGACCTAGTCACCTGGACCTCGAAGGGAATGCGCTACAGGAACCCGAACCCTACACGATGCAGGTCGTCCGCGGAGTGGGCGAAACGAGTCGGCCGAGGAGGTCGCCGAGTGACATGGCTTCCGAGTACTTGGCTTTCAGGGCCTGCGCGGGTTCCTGAGCCGAGCCGGCTCCGGGGCGATCTGCGGTGTCTCTGCGGGTCCGGGGAGAGCGTCCGGCGTTGGACTGGCGTGTGACACGAGTCGCTGGGTGCGTTGGACTCCGACTCACGAGGGTACACTCCATGTTTACATGTGTTTGCTGCTTACTGTCACTGTCATCTACTATCAAATGCAGGATGACGCAGGTCATCTCTCAGTTCTGTGAATGTTTGGAAGGGAGTCTTCAATGTGGTGGCCAAGGTCAAGGTCTCTTCGCTGTGAAAAGAATCTTCAGTCGCGTCAATGGATTTGCTGAAGGATGCTCAAAACCTCATGTAGACTCTTGATTTAAAGCCCTTCCCATATGCAAATCAATGGTTGATCAGTTTTCAGTTCTTCTTCACGGAAGATCTTGCTGCCCGTCATAACACCATGACTTGACGGTCTATTTTGCTGAATCGTGTGGCCTACTCTGTTGCCAAGAATACTTCCTCTAACCATGTCCACCCTGGTGAGTTCAAGATTCTGCAGATGGGATTGGATCCAGGCTCCATGTTTGATTGGACTTCGGATGTTCGTATTGATGCACCACAAGGATGGCTTGCAAATTGATATCCGGACTATTTGTGACTTTATAAATTCGCTTCAATGACGTGTTCACCCAGAGTTGTGCACTTCTTTCGTCGAGTTCGCTTTCCTTTTATGGAAGCCAGGTTATCATTTGCGTGCATGTGCTGCCAGTGATAAGACTTTTAGAGACCTTACTTTCTGGCTGCGAAGGGCTCTTGTCTTTGTGAATAAGATTCCGCATCATGGACATACAGATATCGCCTCAAAACAGAGGGGCATGCGCTCCCGCAGGGAGCCATTGTCGGAGCAATTCCGCGTTTTGCCATTGATGAACTTGTCCAATTTGCTGAGCTTCTTGTCAACGGATGCTCCAAGCATCTGTCTACTTGGGAGTTTTCGATTTTATTGTTACTTTGAAATTTGCACGTATTTAGGTCGGTGTGCTGCTGATGTCTACAGTGGCGTTCGTGCTGTCACGCCTCAACTCGGGGCTTTTCGTTCAGGCGGACATACGAGCGAATGGGTAGAAGAGGTTTTACATGGTTTTACACTCCATGTTTGGAGGGGGTGTCATTAAATCAGTCTCCATCACCGATCTGGATCCCTTTCTGCTGCCTCTTTCCTCTCCACTGTCACAACCAATTGTGCACCCGGACCCGTCGATCGGCCCGGATCTGCCCGGGCCTCGTACTTGGCCTTCTCGCCCGCCTGCATTCCTCGCCTGCCGACCGTGACTGTCGGAGCGAGCCTCGTGCACCAACAGCACAGCCAAGCTGACCGACTGCGAGGCGACAGCAGGTTCGCCCTGGGAAATCTTCGGGCCCCGTTTCGGGGGGGTCAGCCCCGAAACCAAGAGCATCTCAGTAGCTTTTGGGATGCAGCAGGGTGCCATCCATCCATCCATCCATCCATCCATCCATCCATCCATCCATCCATCCATATACTATCATACTGCAGGCAGGTGCAAACATGTGGATGTGTAGCTCAAATAGGGAGGACCCCCTGCAACGACCCCTAGAAGGACCAGTCTACCCAGCCAGGGGCGAGAAAGGGGGTCTCTCCATACCAAAAAAAGAAAACATGCAAGCAGTGACAAAGGGGTGCCTATTGGAGGATAGGGGTGCCCATTATCCACTCACTTAAGGACAAAGAAAACACCCCTTTGTGACTCCTGGTGCAAGCCTTCAGTTTCATCCCGCCCGCAAAAATCGCCTCCCAACACCCATCGACGCCCGCTTTTATATATGCTTTTTGTGGTTTCTATGTTTCGGTGTCGGCTTTTTCAAGGACTACGGACATTTGAGGTCCCGTCGGTTCCTTCTGCCGACTCGACACCGTCCGGTTCCTGTGCCCCCTGGGCTCCCAGGCCATTTCTTGGAGGCCTCGCTCAAGACCTCCTTGGCTTTCAGCTTCGTGCTCTGATCAGCACGGAAGTCCTGACTGTCGAGTCTGCGACCCTCCACGACCGTCGACGTGGCGCCCCAGAATTGACCCTGGAATGGGACGACGGAGGTGGATTCGGAACAAATCTTCACCGGAATTGGATTTACCATGATTTACCCATGGGAGAAACAACATCAACCGATCTCAGCATGCTGAGATGACCAGGTGGGAGTATGTGGGAGGCACTGGACCAACGCAACCTTGGCATTCTAAAAAAAGAAATGATCCTCTTGTGCATCCAACAAATCAGCATGTGATTTGGGTGAGAAAGACCCGACTCTCATCTTGGGACGTCGCAAAACCTCCAACAAGACCCGAGACCATCGACCAAAGGATGTGTGAGGTGAGAACTAGCGGTGCGAACCAACAACGGGTGTCCACCCAGAAGCCCCGCACTCCTGCAGGAAGAGAATCCATGGTGAAGCCGGCCTCCTTGGGCAGAAAGCTTTTGTACAGGAAGTGGCCAGGGGGAAAACCAACACCTCATGAGTTTCAAAAGGTATGTCTAGGCATGTCTAGGCCGCTAGGCATGGAAGATCATTCTGGCCAGAAGGAACCCCTCCTAATTGAAATATAATGGCCATCCCCTTGGATGATGATTCAATCTTTGGGAATCAGGGCACTCAGGACAACTGGGCCTATCACTCAGACCGCGGGTTCAAAACATCTGGCAGCCCGATGTGTCATCTCAAAACACCGCTTAGTTTGGCGGAACAAAAGACCACCGAGATAGTTAGACATCCAAAAAAAACAACAACAAAAAACAAAACAGTAGTGGCGGAGATGAACAGCCATGTGAATAAAGGGCATGTATTTTTTCATATCAACCGTCGACATGACTTACTGGGAAACAAAGAAAAACTCCGACCAAGAACCTGACCCTGGGAGTTGCACTATACCATACTATACCCATCAAATACCCCCCCTGTGCTTGGAGATTTCTTATGATTTTCTCCAACCCTCAATCCACTTCTGGGGTCGATTGAGATCTGAGATCAACACGGAGATTTTGTTGAAAGTCGACTTGTATCATCTTGTATCTAGTCTTTGGCACTTGAATCGATCATCTCATGGGCATGCAATAGCATTCAGCTTATGAGAGCTTTGCAGAACAGCAAAGCCGGCCGAAGAGAATTTACATGAATTTACCACAAAGATCCACAAAGGAAACTGACCAGACTTGGATGCTCAGAAGATTGAATGCCCAACACATATCCCCAACAATTTTTGCACCATGCGCACATTTTTCACATGATTGTCTGACTCCTTTTCTTCCCTGACCTTTGTTTTTTCAGAGATTCCCAAGTTGAAGGAGAGGCTCACATCACATCCACACCTTTGACTCCCAAGCTGTGCCTGCTGTTGGTTGGTCAACAGGATCACTGGCACCCAAAGTCCAGCAAATCAGGCTGTCATATCGAAGCCCAGTCTATGAAAGACACAACTCCCGTCGCAAGATGCAAGGGGAACTCCCGTCGTCGCTCCCAGAAACGCAGTCTCGACACGACACGAGGGGCCGCTCAGTTGCTCCCGAAACGGCCCGCATCAGCTATGCTTGACCAGCTATGCTTGACCTCCCAGCTATGCTTGACCTCCCAGCTATGCTTGACCTCCCTAGTATCCTTCCGCCAGCCGTCTTTTTGACTCGTCTTCGCCCAAGTGGGACTCGTTTCCGCGGACGCGACGGTCGCGAAGGGACTCCCAAAGACTGGGAACCCATGGTGTATAAGTCAATCCCATTCCCAGGGCCCAGTGGATCATGTAATTTACTGCAACATACTGCAACAGGTTTACTGCAACACACCCGTCACGTCGTCGAACCCGGACAAACCAAACAAACGACGTGCCAATCGGATCTATGACGCTTACCATGCAGGTTCAGGTTGGCTGCCGACACACTTTCATGCATCCGACCCATTTCTCTGGAGCCGGATTTCACTCGATTTGGTGTCTTGACACGTCTTGATATCAATTTGGCTCCTTGAGCATGGCACCAGGGGTACCTTGGTTGACCCCGGATTGAATGTGTGGATCGCCTTTTTTCATATAGATGTGAGGCATGAAGCTGCCATGATTTGAGGCATGAAATATGCCAACAACCGACCTGAATGATGGCTCAAGAAACACTGCAGCTGCCCTGGTTTTTGCTGTGGTGTTGAGGTCTGGTTCAAACACGCTCAGGTTATGAGCCCAAGACCACCTCAGTGACCTTTTGTTGCGAGGGCTGAGTTGTTGGCCGCCATGTCGACGAGCCAGCGGCGGAGGAGGATGGCTGCTGGAGCTGCGACGGCTGGTGGCAGTGGTGCGGCAGCTGATGGAAGATCTGCGGAGGCTAGACCGAGCTCCGGGCAGTTGGAAGTGGGAGAGGCTGATCGACGCTTGGACGCGCTCATCGAAGAGGAGGTGCAGCGCCGGGCTCGGTCGGTGGATTCAGGAATGAGGATCGCCTCGGTGTCGACTGGAAATGGTGCTCGAGGTCTACCTGCGTCCTTTGCTCCAGCGCTTCCCCAGGTTCGTGAGACTCAGCGGGAGATTTCTTCGACTGCGGCTGCTGGTTCCGCCCCTGTTCAACGGCAAGGAGGTCATGGAGGTGATGGCGTGACTCCGTATGCTTCTCAGGCTGGAGTTGGGAACAACGTGATCAACCTGGGAGCACTTCAAGAAGCGTTTCAACGAAGTTATCAAGCTCTTCATGACGCACTAGGACGAGGCCATGGAGGTCAAGGTCTATTAGGTCCTCTTGATCCTCGCAATGCTCCTGCACTCCAAGGAGGTGTTCTTTTGGGTGCGATCCCTGAGACTGGGGGTCAAGGTGGAGGCATGGCTCCAAGGACGTTGGAGTATGGCAGTGCAGCTGCTCACACCCCTTCACGAGGAGATGATCCACCTGTCAACCCGTTTTGGAGTCCGGCAGTTCGAGATGCTGCATCACGTGCCTCGGCTGGGGGTGATGGGGGAGGTCATGGTCAGGAGGGTCAACGTCGTGATCAAGATCCGCCGAGCTCTCGTCAGCTGGAGGTGAGACAGACCCCAAGCAGTGATCCTCGACCGCGCGATGTTACTCAGTCTCCAACGCCCCAAGATGAGATAGAAGCGTTGAGGGTGAGAGTTTTGAAGGAGGCCCAGGAGCAGTTCGAGAAGGAAGTTCGACGACTCACGGGTGGAAGAGATTCTGGTGATACTGTGTCATTTAGGACAGCGTCTAGTGGGAACCCTGAACCTGGTTTACGTGGTGCACCTGAATGTCCTCCTGGTTTGGGTCAACCTCCAGAACCCTCTCGTGAACCTCCTGATGATCGTGTGTTGAGTACTCCCCATAAAGTCATGAGGATTGGGGACAGTGCTACACAGGCGTCGCTCACAGAGGCGCTCAGGAACCTTGAACTGCCAGCGTTGCCCTTGCGGCATACGGATGGAGCATCCATTGTTTTTGGCGACTGGCTCACTATGGTGTTTCCTTTGATGGCAGATATATCCTGCTCGGCCAAGTCATGGTGGCAAGAATCACTGATGGCAGCCCAGGAGTGCTATGCAAGGTGGTTGACTCTATCACCTCTTGAACGTCTTCGAGCCAAGCCGGAGATTGTGGTGGCGCCAGCTTTTCAGAGGATCGAGCAACGGGGTGTGGCGATGCTTCTTGCTGCTCTACCTGATCAGCTGCGGAGAGACCTTGTTTCGGCTCGGAACCTGTCGGTCGTGCAGATTTTGTACAAGCTGCATGTGACCTACCAACCAGGCGGAGGTGCAGAGAAGACGCAGCTGCTGAAGAATCTGGTGGAGACCAAGTTCCCTGCAGGGCTGCATGAGCTTCTGACTCAAGTTCGTCTTTGGCGCAGGTGGTTGAGCAGAGCTGAGGAGCTTCGTGCGTCGCTTCCTGATCCGATTGTGCTGATGGTCACTGTTCAACGCATGATCGATGGAGTGGCGAAGTTGGGTGGGGCACAAGTGGCTTTCCGAATTGCCAACGTCAGGCAGGAGCTGAAGGTCGACTACCTGGCCACGATGGACTCTGTGCAAGAGCTGGCAGAGTATGTGCAGGCTGAGCTTGAGGAGATGGCTCTCACTAGTGGGCCAAAGGCGGCAGCAGCAACTACCTCGTCGTCTTCGGCACAGGCATCTGGAGCCAATTCTCAGCCTGTTCAAGCCGCTCTCAAGGCCTTCCAGCAGTCCGGCAGTTCAGGGGACGGAGAAGGAAAGGGAGATGGGAAACTTCCTTGCAAGTTTTGGAAGTCAGAGGATGGATGTCGCCGTGGCTCTTCGTGCACGTTTGGCCACGACACCAATGACATGAAGGGCAGGTGCTTTGGTTGCGGAAGTACGCAGCACATCAAGAAGGAGTGCCCGCACAAGCCCAAGTCCGACACCAAGAATGATGGAAAGAAGATTTCGAAGGTGAAGGGAGGGAAGGAATCCACGAAGACGGATGGGCCTAAGTCAGAGAGATCCAGTCCGGAGAAGGAAGATTCCCAGGAAGCCCTTCAGTCTAAGACCACTGCATCTTCGTCAGCTGAGGGCGCTTCATCGGCGCCTACTGGGAGGGATGCAACTGCTGATCTCTTGAATGAGGCTACGACTCTCCTCAAGACTCTCCGTGCTATGAAAGCCATCAGGATCAAGGAGCTCACCGTGTACGCTGACCTCAAGGAGAAACCTGTGGCCCTCATTGATGGCGGAGCGACCCATGGTCTCAGGCGGGCGAAGCCGTCTGAACTTGATCGACTACAACCAGTTCAAGTGGAATTGGCAGCTGGAAGTGCGACACTGTATCGAGTGCCAGAACACTCGACTCTGTTGAGCATGGAGCCGGTGGAAGCTATCGTCCCTCTTCATCGATTGGTCTCTTTGGGGTACAGTCTCACCTGGACATCTGCGGGGGTCAAGTTCTTCCATCCAGTTGACGGCCGAATCACATGTGCCTTGCGAAATGGGTGCCCCGTGATGACTGAGGCTGAAGCTCTGAAGCTGTTGGATCGTATGGAGGTGGATGACGCCGGGATTGGAGATGGAGATGGTGGCTTTCTTCAATGGTGGAAGGAGCGCTTTCCCGACGTTCCGGAGTCAGTGATCAAGTACATGAAGGGCCAATCAACCTGGGATGCATCGTCCTGCCCATGGAACCGGCGACAGAGGCGAAGGCACCAACTGGCGCGAGGTGTCATCGTTCACCTCTTCTCTGGGAAGGACGCCAAGAAGTGGACCAAGGAATCGTGGGGTGATTTTGAGGTCATCACGGTCGACATCTCCCAGGGGGCTCAGTACGATTTGCACGCTGCTGGAACGTGGGGCTACCTATGTCATCTCGCTCAACAGGGAAAAGTGGTTGGAGTGATTGGTGGCCCGCCATGCAGATCCGTTTCTCGCTTACGCCATCGAGATCCAGGTCCTCGTCCTGTGAGAGGCCGTGACGAAAGACGGTTTGGATTGCCCAACTT